CGCGCGGGCGGGAACTCTAGGGGACCGATGCCCGCCCGCTGCCGGACCCCGTTCTTCCTCCGCTTCCTAGTCCTCAGAACCAACCCCTTCGTATCCCACTGACAGATAAGAAAACTGAACTCAGAAGGAAGCCATCGGCCCAGGCCCTCCAGCTTGGGCAGGGGCGGAACCGTGGCCCCTCAGCCCAGCGCCTCTCCTCGGTCCAGCCCGGGGGTGGCGTCTCAATACCTCCGGATGCTCGCCCGCGCTGACCCCAGAAGGAAGTGGCCAGGGACTGTGAAGGGGGCTGGAACTGAACTGGCTGTCCCAGAGATACCCAAAAACAGGCTTGGCTGTCCCCTCACCCGCCATTCACAAACCGAGGTCCCACTCCCAGCACACATCCCTAACTGCCCCCCGCCAAGCCTTTGGTGCGGGTCTCTCACCAGGGGAGACACCGGCCCTGCTGGCGCACCTAGGTCCGAAGCCTCTGGCTCTCTCCCCACATTGGCGAAGGTGGGTAGGGTGGTACACGCGCCCGCCCCGCCCCAGCCCACCAACTGCTGTACCCCTCTACCCCAGCAGCCGGTCATCACTGTACCCATACATTTATTTGGGTCTCTTTGCATTCCCAGAAAGGACAGTCGTGGGGGCTGCCAGTCGGGGTGGGCTGTGCGTGCATAAGGTGGCACAGAACTCAGCAGAATTCGGTTTTGCAATTAAGAGCAAATGTCTTCTCCATCCCCGGCCAAGTGGGATGGGGGCAGTGCCAAGGGTAGGGTAGGGCAGGGCTCCTGGGAAGAGTCTAGGTGCAGGGCCACTCCCATTCCCAGGGTGTGACAGCCTTCCTCCCTCTGGGGATGGAACTCAAAGCTACTATGGAGGTGAGGGCAGCCCCGAACAGGGGCCTCCTTGTCCCCAAATCGACTTTGTCCTGCCCTCATCACTAGCCCCCTATGCTAGGCCCAGGGTCGCCCCTTGGTTGGCCCTCTGCTGTCTTCTTTGACCCCAAGTTCTAAGCCCTAGGCTTAAATGTTCACGTGACCAATCTATGCATCCTTTTGTCCACCCCCTCCCCAAGTCCTGCTCCACAGATCTGAGAACTCCCTAGAGGGGTTCCTGTCTGCACTTACTGCACACACCAGAACCCTACTCCTGGCACACACCCCCTCCCTGGACTGCCCCGCTTCCTATCCAACTTTCAAAATTCTGTACAAAAGTCACCTTCTCTGCTCCTGGGCTCTCTAAGTTAGGGTCAGGTGCCTTTCACCTCATCCTGTTATCCAGTGGCTTGTCCTTTATTTACGTAGCTGTCTCCTGGAGTGTCCACGCTCCTGGATAGCTGACACCTTCTCTAATTCGGAACTCTCCCTTCCCGCCTCTAGCACAAGGTCTGGTACAGAATTGGCACCCAGTTAATGCCAAATGAATTGGCCACAGGAATAGGCAGCGGGTACCTCTAGGAAGCTGCAGAAGGATATGGGAGATGCTTTTCTTCACCACCCACCCGCCCCATTCTTCAGCTCTAGGTCCTGTCTTGTCCAAGGACAAGCCTGGAGAAGGGGGATGGGCGATCCTCTTGCCCCGACACCCTCTCGGGCAGTTGCTCTGCCTTCTCCAAGACGTGTCATCTCCCTTCTCTCCTTGCGGGCCCCACTCTCATCGTTGCCCTTTTAAGAAAGAGGAAATTCTTCTCATAAACAAGCGCCCCAACCTGAGCGCCAAGCCGGCCGCGGGACCCGCTGGGTCCCCGGGAAACCCGGGTTACTTTCAGACACTGCATCTGCCCCAGGCTCAACTTAGGGATAAGGTGCAGCGACCCCTCCTCGCTGCAGTTCTTCGCAACTCCGGGGCTGAGGTCTGAAGGACTGGCGGAGTCTGGAGGAGGGACTTAGGGGAGCCTAGAAACAGCCTAGGGAGCGTCTGTAAAGTGCAGCCTCTGCACCGGGCGAAGGGGTGCCCGGTTCCTTCCTGCAGCTGAGGGGGTTCCCCGCCACCTCCTGGCCGGGGATCATTCTGTGGCCCCCCGGGCGCGAGATTCTGGCACCAGCCTACCCTGACGGTGCCGCTTGGCCCGGAGCGGAGACGCCGAGGCGGGAGTGCGGGCCCTCGGGACTGTCCCTGCCCCTAGGGGGAGCTGGGAGTCAGCACAGAGGGAATGTTAAAGCGCCGCGTGGGAGTCCCGTCCGCCCGGTTCCCTGGGGAGATGACAAATGAATTGGGACTGGAAGGCACGGGCTCTTGGGTTCCTTAAGACTGGAGCCTGAAGGAACAAGAATTGGGCCTTGGTTTTACTGCCTGGAAAACGGGTTGCAAGCGCAGAGCAGGAGCGAACCAGATGGGAGGGGGTCAGACTTGGGGTCTTCCGGGTTTGCGTTCCCAGCTCTTGGGAAGAGGAGGGAATGTTTGTTTAACATTCATCAAACTGTTCTAAGTGCCAGTTTGGAGCCTGTGTCCCTTCCCGTCTTTCCCCTCCCCTCATGGGTCAAGTCACTCATATGTGCTCAGAAAATATTTTTTTTTAAAGAGAGAGTGAGAGAGGGAGAGAGAGAAAGAGAGAGAATTTTAATATTTATTTTTTAGTTATCTGCGGACACAACATCTTGGTATGTGGTGCTGAGGATGGAACCCGGGCCGCATGCATGCCAGGCAAGCGCGCTACCGCTTGAGCCACATCCCCAGCCCCCTCAGTAAATATTTTTGAATGATTTTTTAAAGTTCCATGTGCCAGGCACTGCGTTAAAGTGCTTTATACCCACGGCAAGGTTGGTGTTGTCCCCATGAGGATGAGGACACAGACCAAGAGATTAAGCCTTTGTTCAAACTAGGAGACAGTAAGTCCCCAAAGACCACCTTTCGTTGATTTGCAAGAGTGTCTGGCTCCCTCTTGCTGCCTTCCTGTCCACGCCTGTCTGTGTCCGGGGGCTAGTCTGCCCCTTCATCCCATCTCCCAGCCAGGGCCTGGAGGTCTCATCCAGAGCTTTCCCGACCCGCCCGCCTGTCTTCTAGGAGCCCATACAGGAAGTGCTGGTGGGAGCTGTGGGTCAGAAAGGTGGCCCCATGGGCAATGCAACAGGTCCAGACCTGGGAGAGGGTGACCACAGGGACAGTCAGCCTGGGAGTGGGGGAGAGGCTGAGACCCCAGGGGAGGCCCCTTGTGGCCTCCTCCCATTCTTCCCCCACCATTGCTTCCTCCACTTGCCTCCCCCGTTCCTGACAGCCCCACCCCACAGCCCCTGCATACCAGGTAGGCAGTGAGGGCCAGGTAGCCCGCGGCCAGCAGAGCCACAAGGCCGAAGTAGGCTGGGTGGGGCAGGCTGGGCACATAGCTGACCACAAAGTAGAGGTTGATGGCGCAGACCAGTGCCATGATGCCGGAGGTGATAGCTTTGCTCAGCCTAGGGGACAAGCAGGAAGCTCAGGACTGGCTGGATATAGCTAGAGACCTGCATCCCGCCCCTCGTCCAGTGCCCACCGCTAGCTTGGAGCTGGGAGCTGGTACACAAAGCCCTCTTCTCTGAGCTGCGGGCCTGGTACACACAGAGCCTTGCCCACTTCTGGTCTCCAGGACTCCCAGCTCCACACTGGCAGGATCTGGCAAGAGGTGAGGTGAGGGTAACCTCAGGTTCTAGAAACAGCCCTCACTGCCACTGGTTTCCCCCACCCACTTACTAGCTGTGTGACTCTGGGAAAGTTCCTCAATCTCTCTGAGCTTCAATTGGACATTGGGGATAACAGTAGTTGCTGCCTCTGGGTGATGAGTACATGGGATGGGAGGACTCACCGGCCATTGGCAAACTCCTGCATGACAGCGGGCATGCTGGTGAACGTTAGGATGGGCAGCACAGCAAAGGGAAGCTGTGGAGAGAAGGGAGGCTGAGGCCGGGACCCTGCCTCCAGTACAGCAGGGGGTGGGGAGGCCCAGCACCTCAACCTCTGTCTTGTGGGGAGCCTTTGGGGAAGTCCCCTAACTCCTCTGAGCCTGTCTCTGTGCCTTTCAAAGCAGGAGAAAGTATGCGGGGGGTGGGGGCTCTGGCACAGGCTGCCTGCGTTTGAATTTTGGCTCAGTCACCTAACTCTGCTCGTCAGTTTTCCCATCTGTAAAACGGGAACAACAGTGACTCGGATCTGGTGAGCCTTGTAGGCCAAGTGCATTTAGGGTAGCGCCTGAGTGGGCTCCACGTGGGGTGGCCGCGGTTCCTGCGGGGCCCTCATCTCACCAGCAGGCTCTGCAGCACGTTGAGCAGGTCGTTTAGGCCTGACAGGTCCCTCAGGTCCCGGAAGACGGCCACGAGCACCGTGGGCAGGATGGCGCAGGAGCGGGTGAGGAGCACCCGGGCAAAGCGGGACCACCGCAGCTTCAGGAAGCCCTGGGGTGGGGAGCGAGCGGGGGTGTGGGTGGCACTGGGGACTTCACACTGGGAGAACACGGGCTTTCCATCTTTGAAATAGGGACAGCTCTGTCCCCCTTTGGTGGAGAGGCAGTGGGTGGAGAGCGGGGTCCCCACCTGTCCCTGATTCCTAAAGACTTTCAAGGGGCTTTCGGGAGGGGGCGCTGTTTCTCCTGCATCTGCGACCTCCAGCCAGTGGCCTCAGTTCTCTGAAGCTCACTTTTCTCATCTCTCCAGTGGGACTACGGTGGCACCCCGGGGCTGCTCGAGGGACCAGCGAGGCCGTGTATCCGAGGCCCTACTAGTGTCCAGGGCGCCCCCGCCTCCCGCCCACCTCCATCACGAACTGTCCCGCGTAGGTGCCGGTCATGGTGGAGCTCTGCCCGGCCGCCAGGAGACCCACCGCCCAGATGTAGAGCGCCGCGGGGCCGAAGAGGCACCCCAGGATCACGCCCTGGGGCGAGGGGCGGGGTCAGAGCATCGGCCCCGCCCCGTGGGCGGGGACAGGCGGGGCCCGCTCGCGCCCACCGCCCCACTGGCCCGCCTTACTCCTTGGTAAATGTCCACCGACACCGTGTCGTTGTTCCTGGGGAAGATGGAGGCGTAGTCGTGGAGGCTGCTGTTGGCACAGACGCTGTACTGCGGCACCGGGCGGGGGGCGAGATGGGGAGCGCAGACTTAGTCTTGGAGAGTCAGACCCCAGGCCTGGGCCGAGGCCAGCAGCTGGTGGTCTGCACCCAGAATCTGGCCAGACTGTGGCTGTCACGGCTTTTTGTCCCCCCCCCCCCATGTGAATTCGTTGCCTGTACTTAAAGTTGGGAAGGAGGCCCATGGGACTCGGTTTCCAGCCTCAGAGGACCTGGCACTACCCAGAAAATCCCGGGGACCCGCGGTCCCCTCTTCCTCCCATCGGAACCGCTTCCCACAGCTCCGAGGCGTCCGACCCCGAGACCACCGTCTGACCTTGGAGTCCAGTCTGCAGTCCCTGTTTAGTCCCTCTCTCCTTGCACCCAGGGACAGGGTGAAACCCGGGGAGGGTGTGACCCCCCCAGCACAGGGCAAAGCCCTGGAGTCCCCCAGGAGGGCGCAGACAGGGCGAGCCGGCTCACCGCGTCCTGGTTGGTCTTCTGGAAGAAGGCCTGCCCAAAGACGGCCATGACGAAGAGGTTGATGACCAAGGAGACCGAGAGGGCGATGGAGGCCTCGATCAGGAAGTACATGTTGGCTTCTCGGACTTCCGCCCGGCGGGCACGGTCCACCTCTCGGGACTATGAAGATCAAAAGGAGAGGGAAGAGCCAAAGTCCTCAGAGTCACACCAGTGTCCCATACCTTCCCACTTGCACCTCTGTTCCCTCTAAACCCCAGTTCTTCTGAAGACCCTGTGTGGCAATCTGGTTCAGAACCTGGTCAGCTGCCTCCTTCCTATATCCTTGTCCTTGCCAGAGGCCGCTCCACAGTGACTGGCTATGAGAATAAAGGAAGACGGGCCTTTGAGGTCCCCCTGTAAATCAGTCTGACACCGTCCCTTTCACTCACCGTGTTACATCCTTAAACACTTGCTTTATTTCTGCCTCAGGGCCTTTGCACTCGCTCTTCCCTCTGCTTGCAATAGCTTCTCCCTGTCTTTGGTCACTGTCTACCAGACTTCTCTTCTGTTTCCTTCAGAGGACCTTTCACAGTCCACAGTCCCTTCCTTTGTTTGCTTGATCCTTGCCCATCTCCCCTCCTAGAATACAGGCTCTGGGAAGGCAGGGCCTTGACTGTTTTTTCAACGTTGACCCTTAGCTCTGTGCACACAGCAGATGCTCCTTTTTAAACAAATTTTATTAAAATTTAAAAAAATATATTAAAATTTTTTTTGTAGTTGTAGATGGACAGAATGCCTTTGCTTTATTTGTCTATTTTAATGTGGTGCTGAGGATGGAACCCTGTGCCCCAGCCCCAGCTCTTGATGCTCCTTTCAACCCCTCAGACCGAGGGGCGGGGCCAGTGCAGCTCTACGGAGGCCTGTCTTCCTCCCCCCCCCTCCAATCACCTTGACCAAGGCTGAGTGCAGGTAAATATTGTGGGGCATGATGATGGCGCCCACGATGCCCACGGCCTGCAGCAGCTCTGAATGGCCGCAGCCCGGGCACGAGGGCAGGAACAGGTCTCGAAGAAGCGGTCCCTGTGCCGGCCGAGCCACCACGTACTGTGGGGAGGAGAGGGTCAGCCACTAAAGCCCGACACCGCCTCTCCCTCCAGTCCAGCACCTGGGGACTTGTCCTAAGGCGCTTCCTCCACCCCTGGGCCCGGCTTCCTACCTCGTAGCCGAAAGTCAAGGCCATGATGGTGATCAGGAATCCAAAAAAAGCTTCCAGCTTCCGCAACCCTAGGGGCAGAGCAAACCCACCCACCAGAATCCCCTGGAACACCGCAATTTTAATGGCTGGTATTTTGAGCACTTGGTTCCCGCGCTGTGCCAAGGCTTAAGGTGTTGTACCCACCTGAGCCACTGTTTCCCATGTTGCAGATGGAAAAACAGCTGGGCCTCCAGGGCGCGCAGGGGGGAGTCAGCCCCGCCCAGCGCAGCTGGCCCCAGGCTCAGCGCCCAGCCTCGTGGGCCAGGAGCGCTCACTCACCATAGTTATCCAGGAAGAGGAAGAAGAAGGTATCCACGATGGTGATCAGGACGCCACCCCAGAGCGGGATTCTGAAACCACAGTGGCCCGGGTCAGCCCAGCCTGGTCCAGCGTCTCGCACTACAGTCCTCAGCGCAGGGACAGTGGGACCAGGCCTCTGGGGTGTAGGAGCCCAAAGGAGGACAGCAGGCAGGGAGGAGGGAGGCCCTGAGAGTCAACCCATCACTCCAGGCCCAGCGAGGCCGCAGGGGGCCAGCAAGGCAGGAGGCTCAGAGCCATAGCCCTACATAGAGCTCTGAAAGTCACATCTGTGGGACTTTACAGAGGTCACTTTACATTCTGAGAATTGGAGCAGCAGCCCCTATGTCAGAGGGGACAGCAAGATGAAACGGAGTTCAGGAGGTACATGGTCCGGGAAAGAAATAGCAGCTCTCCCCAGCCCTGGACTGAAGGGTGGGTGCCCACGGGGTGGTACCGTCCAGCTGAGAGCAGGTTGAAAGCGATGGCTGTGCCGATGACCTCCTGCATGTCGGAGCCCACGATGGCGAGCTCGATGGTCAGCCAGAGGAGGGTGCGGGGCACCTAGGAAGAGGAGCCGGTCCTTCATCAAGGTCCTTCATCAAAGCGGGTCAGGCACTTGCCTGCAGTTTCAGCCTCACGCCCAACTTTCCTTCCCTGTACTGTGCTGTGGGGCTAGCCGCCTGCAGACCACCCTCCCCAGGCAGCCTCCCCAGGCAGCCTTGCCAGGCTTTAGAAGCGGTGCTTATGCAGGATGGCGGTGTTTTGGATTCCACTTCTGTGTGTCCCCCCAAGATGCATGTGCTGCAAGCTTGGTTCCCTGGCAGCAATGTTCAGAGGTGGTAGAAATTTTAAGAGATGGGGCCTAACTGGACTTGGTGGTGCACCTTGTAATCCCAGGGGTTCAGGAGGCTGAGGCAGGAGGATGGCAAGTTCAAAGCCAATCTCAGCAATTTAGGGAGGCCCTAAGCAATTTAGCAAGACTCTGCCTCAAAATAAAAAGGGCTGGGGAAGAGGCTTAGTGGTTAAGTGCCCCTGAGTTCAATCCCGGTACTAAAAACAAAACAAAAAAAAAGAGGTGGGGTCCTAGAGGAAGGTAGAGAGGTGATTGAGGTGTTGCCCCCCAGAAAGGATTCATGTAATTCTCATGGGACCTTAGTTAGTTCCCAAGAGTGTGAATTGTTACAAAAGAGCAGGCCTGGCCCCTGAATGGCTCTGGCTTCCTGTCTCACTATGGCTTCCTGTCTGGCCATGACATCCCTTCTTCCTGTGTTCCTGCCATTGTGATGCCATGTGCCACTAGAGTCAAGCAGAATCAGCACCACACTCTTGGATCTCCAGAACTTGAGCTATATAAACCTGTTTTCTTCACAACAGACCCAACCTCAGTTATTTTTGTTATTGCAGTGACAAATAAACTAAGAGATTGGGCAGAGAGAAATCATTTTCCCTGATTCTGGTGGTGTTTCTGATGGGGTCACTAGCAAGGACACCAGCTAACTGAGCTCCAGCCACAGTTGTGGTCATTTAAGCAGTGGCCACAATGCTTCTGGAAACTTAGTGGCAAATGATGACTCTTGGGCTCATGCCAGGAGTATATCAGTTTTCTGAGCTTTGGTGAAACCTTCTGCCTTTGCTACTCCAGCCCTTCAAACTAAGTGCCTGCATTGAATCCTTGGAAATGTCTCATGGTATAATTTCTGTTTTCCTGCCTGGACTTGGACAGCAACTACCCATGGTCCAGCCCAGCAGTGACCTTCCTTGATCTGATGCCTTTCAGTTTCTGCCTTGGGCAATCACATCCCCAGGTTCTAATTTCCCCTTCTGTAAAACATGTGTTTCACCCCGATGCCCGGCGAGTCTGTGTGCTGTTTGTGTGAGCCTCAGTCTTCTCATCTGTCAACTGGGCTTGCTTGCCGCACTCGGGTGAGATGATGGACAGCTTTCATTTGATCATGGAAGCTGTGAGTAGCTGCTCAGGGTTCGAAATCTGTGGGTGCTTCCTGTCCAGGCCCCCTACACTTACCTTCGGGTAGTAGAGGTGGCAGACCTCGCCCAAGTCCTTGCCCGTCACCACGCCTAGCCGGGCAGCCAGTCTCTGGCACAGCAGGCCCAGCACGGTGGCCCAGAGCAGCACCCAGAGCAGCTGTGAGGAGGCAGGGAGAGCTTCATCCAGGGGGGCTGTCCTGGAAGGCTGCAGGCTGGGGACCCCTAACCCAGGACACCCCGTGGGGAGAGGCAGGAAGAGGGAGCAGGAACCAGCTTCGCAGGCTACCCCGGGGGACCCCTGCCTGACCCATTTGAACCAGGAAGACCATCTCCCTGGCAGCCCTGAGGGCCCCTGGCAAGCTGAGGGCTCTGCTCTCAGCCTGGTCACCTCCCACCCCACGGAGGCCCCGACTCGGTCACTTTGAATCCAGCCACGGCGCCGGCCTGCAGGTCCGACTCGATGTTCCCCGGGTCCAGGAAGGCGATGCTCATGAGGAATCCGGGGCCCGTGAAGGCCCACAGTCTCCGGAGGCTGAAGGTGCCCTGGTGGGGGAGCAGAGGGAGGGGGGCCTAGGACGGGGGTGGCAGCACCTGCCTTGGCCGGCCCCTCCACCCAGGCTCCATTGCCTGTCCCCAGAGCTGCCCTGTCCCCAGACATGGCAGGGGACACGTGTGGAGGAACCGGCAGGGTTTGCTGAGTCACGGAGGATCTGCTTTCTGAATTGGTCACGGTCACTGACCGCAGTCTCAGCAGCATCCTGCTCTTGACTTGCCCACCTCTTGCCGGCTTGACTCAGCAGGTCCCCGGGCTCCAAGAGGGGAGCACTCTGGGGGCCAAGCCGCCCTGGCCCGGTTCCTCGCTCCCTAGCCCCTCTCAGACCACAGGGGTCTCTCTGGGGTCCACTGAGGCTGGGGTCCCCCACCCCATTCCAGGGCTTGGCCTGTCAGTCAGACTAGAAATCTGCTGGATTCCTGTGACAGCTTCTTTGGAAGCTAAAAGGAACCTGGAGGCGGCCATCCTAATTCACCCGGGACCCTTTCCCTTCCTAGAAAGCTGAGATTCATTCAGAAATGGCTTCATTCAGAAAGCCAGTGGTCATTTTTAGACGACCATGGCGTTTTCCAGCTGAGGAAGGGGCTGTCACTGTCACTGCGGACTCGGGATCCTGTCAACCCAGGAAGTTGCAGAAGGCCCACCGGCTTGGCGTCTGGGATGGGAATCTTCTCGCTCAGGTAGGTCTCCCTGGGAGGCGCTTGCTGGGGCCCTGGGCCGGGAGGGCTGGAGATGGAGCCGTAGCTGGGCCCGCCCAGCCCCCAGGGCCTCCCGTCACCTGTGAGGGGCCCAGGAGGCATGTTGAGGGCCCTGTCTCTTCCTAGAGCCCAGACTTCAAGCCACGGCCTCCTCCCTCTCCTCTTCTTGGCAAAGTAGAGAAATGAAAGTCCTTGGCCCTCCTCTGGGGTCCCTCACCTCCACCCCTTGGCCTGATATTTCAGCTGTGTGGGAACTGGAAGTTTCAGAATTACTTTCCCAGAATTCCCCACACTCCCATCTCAGAGGTGTGACAACGACACCCGACGGCGGGAAGGGCAAGTTGAGGCCACCATGTCCTCCATCCCTGCCTCCTCCCAGGGACAGGAAACCCAGGGGCCCTGTGGACGGAGACCAGATGTGGGAATAACAGGCCCTTCAAGGGGGGAAGGTCTCAACCCCGGCGGGCCTGGGTCAGAACTGTGGTCCTGGCCGCGACTCCCCTGGGGGACCGGGGGCTTCCTTGCCTCTCAGAGCTCCCCAGACCTTCTCCACCCTGCCCTCCCAATCGGGGGGCCCCTGGAGGCCACTACTCACTCGTCATGAGGACACGGGCGTCCGGTGCGTGGTGAGTTCAGGGATGTCCGGGCCCCCCTCGGCCTGCTCCCGCTCTGTGGGGCTGGTGCGAGTGACTGTGGGAACACTCCCTCCTGCCCATCACTCTGGCTCCGTCCCTTACGTCACTGGACGCGGACACTCACATACTCGCACGCTTGGGCGTTGTGAAACTCTCCAAAGGCAGAAGTGGCCGCTGGGGCGGAAGGGTCTGGTCACCCACAACATGGTTCCTCTCTCGGGTGCCCTATGCCCTTCAACATCTCTGGCTCCCCTCCAGGCTCCCCATGTTCTGTGTCTCCCACATGAACTCTGATTTCAGGCACTTCCTGATTAGCAGGTTGGAACTTTGATCTCCCTCATTTCCAGGGAGGGGAGAGGGTTGAGGAGAGTTCCGTAACCAGTGGCCCTGCTTCAGTCCCACGCCTGCACCGTGGCGCCTCTTGGAAATGGTCAGCTATGGGCTTCAGGGGGATTCTGGGTTGGTGAACACACTGGGTGCTAGGTGAACCACATCTGAGGGGCAAGAGAAGCTCCGTGCACCGCCCCCGCCCCCCAAGAACCTTGCTCTGTGTCTTCCTCCTATTCGGGTGTCCCTGGGTAAATCCTTTATGATAAACCTAGGATATTAAGTAGGGTTTTCCTGAATTCTGTGAGTCACAGAATATCAAAACGAAGGGTTGTGGGAACCTCCAGTTTGCAGCCGACTTGTAAAGAGGTGTGAATAACTTAGGGACCCGGTACTTGCAATCGGCATCTAAAGAAGGGAGCCAGCCTGGTGGGACTGTCTAACTTGCTTGTGTTAACTCAGGTAGTTAGGATCAGAGTTGAGTTACGTGGGAGAACACCCCACGTGGTGTCAGAAGTGTGGAGACGAAGGAAACAAAGTGGCCCTCTTTCAGAGATTTTTAGGCCCAGAGCTGATTTAGAATAGGATTTACTCCCATATTGAGTCAAAACCTTTAGATGACGCCTGGGAACCCAGGGTGCGAGTGGGGAGCCAATTTCCTGGCATCTCCATGACGGGGCAGGCTGGAGGAACGGGAGAGATGGCAGTGCGGGGACAGGGGAGAGAAATGGGTCCAGGGGACACGGCACCCGCATGGCTTGTCACCACGCAATCCGATTGCACAAGGCACCACATCATCCTGGCCCCTGAGGTCTGCACACATTTCCCAATCACCCACCCGGGCTCCTGTGGGCTTGGCGGGCTGGGACTGGGAGTCTTGCTGTCTGCCAATTTGGTGGTGGTGGTGGGGGGCAGCTTTCCAACAGCTGGGAACTCAGTCAATGTAACTGATCATGCGTTGATCAGTGTCCCTCACAACCGCTAAGTTGCAGAACAGGGGGTCCGTGCCATGGTCCAGAGCAGAGATCCTGGGCAGAGACTCAGAGAGCAGAAGTTCTAGAAGAGCGGCAGAAATCTACAGAGATACCCCCAGAATCTGAATGTCAACCCCTGCCCGGTTCAGGTGAAATTTCATAATTCTCAGTTCACTCAAAATGGGTCCGAGACTTAAATGTCAGTATGCAAGTATCAGAGTTTTAAGAAAATAAGCAGGAGAAATGTTTCAGATCTAGAACCAAATGAGGGCTTCCTGGACTTAATCACCAAAAGCCTGATCCATGAGGGGAAAACAGGTGAACTGGACCTCAGATAAAAATTAAAGACATTTTCAAATTAAAACCTTTTATTTCAAAGTGAAATCTTCTGCTCTACGAGAGACCCTGTTAAAATGATTAAAAGACAAGGTAAAGCTGGGCGTGGTGGGGCACACCTGTAATCCCAGCGGCTCTGGAGGCTGAGGCAGGAGGATCTCGAGGTCAAAGCCAGCCTCAGCAATTTAGCAAGACCCTAAGCAACTCTGCAAGGCCCTGTCTCTACATGATATATAATAAAGGGCTGGGGATGTGGCTTAGTGGTTAAGTGCCCCTGGGTTAAACCCCTGGTACAAAGAAAAACAAAACAAGGAGATAAAGGTTTGTAGATAATGTTTGCAAATCACAGGGCGAGGGACTATTATCACAGTAGATTAAAATCTCTTAGAACTTAACTCTCGAGATCTGATCCAGGGAGTAGAAGAGGGGTGCTCTGGAGCAGCCCCGGCTCCCGCCTCTGGAGGCACCGAGGGGCCTTGGCAAATGGCTTTCTTGCTGGCCGCTTGCGGAGTGAGTAGACCCTTTGGGGTTTGGATTCAGGATTTGTTCCTTGTGTCCAAGACTTTGACAAGAAACTAACAGAGGCAGATGCTGACCTTCAAATCTTGATAGAACAACTGACGCTTTTTCATGACGAGCTTTAAAACTGTAAAGATGATGAACAGAGAAAGAAAATTGAAACTCAAAGAAACAACAAAGAGCAAGGCAGAGTCTATTAAACACCGCATTGTGTTGCTGCAGATCGCTAAAGACCAGGGTAATGTGGAGAAGCACGCAGATGGAATTATCAGTGCTGTTAATCCTGTGGATGCAATATGTCAACCCAGTCCCTGGGAACCTGTAGCAGCACGGTGCCATCCCAGACTGTCTTACCTCCAGAACCAGCTCAGCTGTGTGAGTCAGAGCAGCGTCCCTCTTCCTTACCCGTGGGACCTGGGTTAGCTACCTTGGGACATCATCAGACTCCAACACCAGATAGCACAGGCAGTGGGCATTCACCACCTAGTAGCAGTCTGGCTTCTCCAAGTCATGTCACCTGGTCTCCAAACACAGTCCCAGAGTTCCCTTACTCTAGCAGTGAAGAGGAATTCTGTGATGCCCATGGATTCCATGGGGTAGCTCATCCCCAAAGAGCTTAATAGATTCTTCTGGTTCTGCCTCCGTCTTGACACACAGCAGTTTGGGGAATAGTCTACAGCACCCAGATACCACAGAATCACTGAATTTTTCATGTCCAATGGTACAAGTGGTGCTGACCTTTTTGATTCACGTGACGATAGAGAGGGAGACGGGGAGCCAGGGTCAGTGTTGTCATGCACCTCTCGCAACAGGTTAGGCTCCGAATGGATCTTCCTCAGGTAGTTCTTCCAACATTTATTCTTGAAAGATCTCTTTTAGAAATGTATGCAGACTCTTTTGCACATCTGGACCTGGTGGTGAGCATTCGTGACCAGAAAGATCCCAGGGATGGAACGGTTCAGGTTGTGAAATGGTACCTCTCCGCCTTTCCTGCAGGAAGGACAGGATCGGTTGCCAAAAAGCCATACGACCCCATTTTGGGTGAGATCTTTCAGTGTCACTGGACATTACCAAATGACACGGAAGAGAACACGGAGCTTGTTTCAGAAGGACCCGTTCCCTGGGTTTCCAAAAACGTGTAACATCCGCGGCTGAGCAGGTTTCCATCATCCACCCTTTTCAGTCTTTTATGCTGAATGTTTTAACAAGAAAATCCAATTCAATGCTCAGATCTGGACTAAAGCATCATCCTTGGGGTGTCCATTGGGGTGCACGACATAGGGCGAGGCTGGGTCTCAGGGCTAGACTATGACGAGCATTACGTTCTCACATTCTCCAATTGTTAAGGAAGGTCTGCGCTCACAGTGCCCTGCGTGGAACCAGGAGGAGATGCAATATTAATTGTTCCCAAACTGGCTAGAGTGCAAACATCGTCTTCCACACTAAACCTTTCTATGGAGGCAAGAAACAGAATTACTGCTGAGATTTTTTTTTCTCCAAATGACAAGAAGTCTTTTTGCTCAACTGAAGGGGAATGGAACAGTGTCATGCATGCAAAATGTGCAACAGGGGAAATGCGGTCTTTGTAGAAACCAAGAAGTTGCCTGTCATCGAGAAGAAAGGGAGGAAGTTGGAAGATCAGAATGAATGTGAGTCCCGCTGCCTTTGGAAGGAAGTCACTTTCGGCTTAGAAAACAGAGACATGGATGCAGCAACTGAAGCAAAGCACAGACTTGAAGAAAAGACGAAGAGCAGGAGCCGGAGGAAGGAAGGAGAAGGAAACTCAGGGGGAGACAAGATGGAGGAGGCTGGGTTTGTGATGAGCCATTACTGGTGCTGGGAGGCAGTAGGAGGGAACATGGGTCTGCACCCGGTGACAGGGCGACAGGGCGGGTGGTCCAAAGTCAGCCGCACTCTTCCTCTGGGAGAAGCCATCACTCCCTTCTTACTGCAGTGGTTCCTGCTGCAGACAGTTAAAGCTGGAAGAGCCTCCCTTTCTCTACCGCAGTTAAGACTTTGACTTCAGTCCTGGGAAAACTGGAAGTTTTGGAACATGCTGCTGTTCCAGACCCAGGCTCTGAAGGCTCACCCTCTGTGTCTTGTCCTACAGACTCTTATTTCCTCCTTCATGTATCCTCTTGGGTTCTGTATATACAATTATATACACACGAAATATACCTAGTGGCAGATTTTTCATAAATCTTCCATCTATTGTTAAAAAAAATTATACAGGGCTGGGGTTGTGGCTTAGCAGTAGAGCGCTTGCCTAGCATGTATGAGGCACTGGGTTCGATCCCCAGCATCACCTAAAAATAAAAGGTTATTGGGTCCACCAACAACTAAAAAAAAATTAAAAAATATTCCAGCAGAAGTGACCAAAAATCATGAGCAGGGGCTGGGGTTGTGGCTCAGTGGTAGGAGTACCACAAGTTCAAGGCCAACTTGGGCAACTTGGCAAGATCCTGCCTCTAAAATAAATTTAAAAGGGCTGGGGAGGTCAGGCATGGTGGTGCATGCCTGTAATCCCAGATACTCTGGAGGCTGAGGCAGGAGGATTGAAAATTTGAGGTCCAGCAGCTTAGCAAGGTCCTCAGCAATTTAGTGAGACTCTCTCTCATTTACTTTTTTTTTTTTTTTTTTTTTTTTTTTGCAGTGCTAGGAATTGAACCTAGGGCTTCATGTAGGCCAGACAAGCACTCTACCACTGAGCCACATTCCCAGCTCATGTCTCAGAAACAAACAAAAGGGCTGAGGATGTGCCTCAGTGGTTAAGCACCCCTGGGTTAAATCCTGGTACCAATAAGAAAAACAAAAATGGGATGCAGATATAGCTCAGTGGCAGAGTGTCCTTGGGTTTAATCCTCAGTACAATGTGGGTAAAAATTTATGCACAAATGTTTACAGCAGCTTCATTTATAATAGCCCGAGCTGGAAGCAACCCAGATGTCCTTCGACAGGTGGATGGTTAGCCAAACCACGGTACACCTTACCATGCCAGGATACACCGCTGGGCATTTATCCCAGAAACTGAAACTTATGTCCACACACACATAAAGCCCTTTACATAAATGTTTATAGGAACTTTATTTGTAATAACCCCAAATGGTAATTATTTCAGATGTCCATTAACAGATGAATGGCTAAATAAGCTGTAGTACATGCATACCATGGACTACTACTCAACAATAAAAGAAACAAAGTATTGATAATAACTTTGATAAATCTCCAGGAAATTGTACTGAATGAAAAATCGCTAGGGGCTGGAGCTGTGGCTCAGCGGCTGAGCATTTGCCTTGCACATTTATTTATTTAAACATAAATAAAATAAAGATGTTGTGTTCAACTATTTTTTAAAAAATAGCTAGACGCAGTGGTACACTCCTGTAATTTGGAGTTGTTTGAGAGGCTGAGGCAGGAGGACTGGAAATTTGAGGCCAGCCTTGATGCTATCTCAAAATAAAAATTAAAAAGGGCTTGGGGTATAGTTCAGTGGTAGAGTGCTTGCCTGACTTGTGGAACATCTTGGGTCCAATCCCCAGGACCACACACACACACACACACACACACACACACAAGCCAATCTCAAAATGTTGCTGGTTCTGTGCAGTTCAGGCCCACACCTGTAATCCCAGCAACTGCGAAGGCTGAGGAAGAAGGATCACAAGTTGGAGGCCAGTCTCGGCAATTTAGGGAGACTCTCAGCAACCTCGCAAGATCCTTTCTCAAAACAAACAAAAGGACTGGAGATGTAGTTCAATGGGTAACAGAAAACGAAACAAATAAAAAAGTTATATTCTGTATTATTGTTCTATTTAAATGACAGGTTGCGATGACAAGATCCTAGAAATGAAGATCAGATTAGTGGTTGCCAGGGGTTAGGGATGGGTGAGGTAGGATGGATGTGGTTACTAGAGTGACTTGTGGGATCCTTGTGGTGTTGGAGCCATTCAGATTCTTCACTGTTGTGGTGGATACCGAAACCACACATGGCAGAACTGCACAGAACCGCTACACTCACATGTGGGCATGCACACACGCACACACACACACACACACGCACGCACACATGAATATAGGAAAAAGAAGGGCACCTGAAAATGATCAATGGGATTGTGTCAATGTCACTATCCTGGTTGTACTGAAAACAGGGACACGGCTGGGTATGGTGGTGCATGTAATCCCAGCAGCTTGGGAGGCTGAGACAGGAGGATCATTGAGTTCAAAGCCAACTTCAGCAATTTAGTGACGCCCTAAGTAACTTAGCCAGACTCTGTTTGTAAATAAAAAATAAATAAAAAGGGCTGGGGATGTGTCTCAGTTGGTTAAGTCACTTGAGTTCAATCCCTGGTACCAAAAAAAAAAAAAAATGTGGAGAGACATTCTTTCATCAATACTCTTGACAACATTGTCACAGCAGCCAAAAGGTGGAAACCGCCCAAGTGTCCATTAACAGTTGACGAGATAAACAGACAATGTGGCATATACACAAAATGGAATATTATTCAGCCTTAAAAAATAGTTTTTGGCGGGGCTGGAGATGTGGCTCAAGTAGTGTGCTCACCTGGCATTGAGGGGACTTGTTTGCCCTTCAGCCCCACAGAAGACGTTCCCCAAACATTACACCTGCTATCGCCTGAGTCTGTGCTTCCTGGCCCTTAGAACTGTCAGCAATAAATTTGTTGTTTATAATTACACAGTTTTTTTTTTTTGATACCTGGGTTGAGCCTAGGGGTGCTTACCCACTGAGCCTCAGCCCCAGCTTTTTAATATTTAGAGACAGGGTCTCCCTGAGTGGCTTAGGCCTTGCTAAATTACTGAGGCTGGCTTTGAACTTGGGATCCTCCTGCCTCAGCCTCCCAAGCCGCTGGGATTATAGCTCGCACCACAGCGCCCAGCCTAAGGTATTTTCTTATAGCAGCCAGAATGGACTCATTCAGCCACCAAAGCCTTGCCAAGATCTCAAACATGAGGTATTTATAATGATTAAAATAGTAAAGAACAATTCCTGTTAAAGAATTTCTTTTTTAGTTGTAGATGGACACAATACCTTTATTTATTTTTTATTTTTATTTTTTTTAAGAGAGAGAATTTTTTAATATTTATGTTTTAGTTTTCGGTAGACACAACTTTATTTTACTTTTATGTGTTCCTGAGGATCAAACCCAGTGCCTCATGCATGCTAGTGCTCTACCACTGAGCCCCAGCTCCAGCCCCAGTAGAGAACAATCTTGATGCAATACGTCATAAAACAAAACGGAGAAACCATCAAACTGAGCAGGAGCAGGTTTTTCGTGCTGGTTTCAGGGGAACTGTAGATTTAACCAGAGGATTAATGAAGGGAAGAACCGACAGAGAGTCCAAAGACAAGGTCTGTACCTCCCAAAGCACTACCAGCCTGGTTTTAATGTTGTCTAGTTAAATACCAGAGACTCTTCTTTAGGGCTCTGCTATGGTTTGAATATGGTCCCCAAAAAACCTGCACTGGAAACTTAATCTCCACGGCAACAGTGTTGGGAGGTGTTTAGCTCATGGGGCTTGTGAGTGAATTAGTATCAATTATAAAAGGGTTTGAGACCCCAACTTCATCTTTTTTGCATTCTCTCTCTCCCCCTCTCCCTCTTGACTTCTACCATGGGGTGATGTAGCAAGAAGGCCTTCCACAGATGCCAGCACCCTGACATTAGACTCCTCAAGTTCCAGAACTGTGAGAAATACATTTTTTTTCTTGGTAAATCACCCAACCTCTGGCAATCTGTTAAAGCAGCACTGAACAGACTGAGACAGGCTCTACCTGTAGCACTGCTCTTAGTTTACCTGCTCTCTTCAAGGCTTCTTGTGGGAAGGGAAACTTGCAGAAACAGGTGGACATCCAGGCCTTTGCCTCACTCACGTCCAGAGTCTTAGTGTCTCGGACAGCAGGCCATATGCTGGTTAGGCTCCCACCCTCTTCATCAGCTTGTCCTGAGCCCTGTAGTAGCCTCCAACTTCCTAGCCTTTTCTTGCTGCTTTCTCCTGAAACATCCTCCACAACCTTTGCCTGGTGTGGCCTCCTCCAGGAAGCCCTCCATGGTTTTTCCCAGGCAAGGTTGTGTGCTCTCTCGGCACAATGCCCTGCTCTGGTGGCAATGCTCTAGGGAGGAAGGCAGTTTCCAGGCGCCTGGGGAAGGGGAAAGGCAGTGTCCAGTCAAGCCTGCTCTGGATTATTTTTATTATTATTAATTTTTTTAGAAAGAGAGAGAATTTTAATATTTATTTTTTAGTTCTCGGCGGACACAACATCTTTGTTGGTATGTGGTGCTGAGGATCGAACCCGGGCTGCACGCATGCCAGGCGAGCGCGCTACCGCTTGAGCCACATCCCCAGCCCCCTGCTCTGGATTATTAAGACAGGAGGGGCCTCTTTTCTGCTGTGAGGCAGCCTCTGGGGTCTTTCTATCAGAATGGATCAGTTCATGAACCCTGGAGCCGGACACTCTGGGTTGAACTCCCTGCTCTGTGTAGCAGGAGGCAGGAGGATTGCAAATTGGAGGCCAGCCTCCACAACTTAGTGAGACCTTGCCTCAAAATAAAAAGGGCTGAGGGTGAATGGGGGTGTCGCTCAGTGGTAGAGCGTCCTTTGGGTTCAATTTGGGTTTAGTCCCCAGCACCACACCCTCCCCTCCACTCAAAGACAAACACAAAAGAAGAAGAGGAAGAGAGAGATTGGGCGGCTGCCTGCAGTCTCTGTGATGTCAGGATGCGGCCAGAAGGCCTCACCAGACGCCAAGCAGATGCAGGTGCTCTTCCAGCCTCCAAACCACCAGCCAACTACCTCTGTTCCTTATTAATAACTCAGGCATTTTGTTAGAGCATCAGAAAGTGGACTAACCCACCTCCTAGGGATGCTGTGATCACAGGAACTGCAGACTCACACTCACTACCAGGACTATTTATTTTTTTGCAGTGGTGGAATTGAGCCCAGGGCCTCATGCATGCTTGGTAAGTCCCCTACCACTAAGTTACACCCCTTACGATTACTATTTATTTCTCTTTGAATCCCTGGGCTCCCAGACGAGGTCAAGTTTGAATTGCATACTTCCATGTTGCATGCATATGTTCCCTTCTTAGCTCTTTATGATAATAACAAAGTCTTTTAATAATAACATAATAATTATTATTTGCTATTATTTATTAACTAATAACAATAATTATTTATTATTATTGTTATTATTTTGTGGTGCTGATTGAACCCAGGATGCTGTACAACTGAGATACATCCCCAGCCCTTTTAATTTTTTTTAGGGCAGGCTCTCACTAAGTTGCCCAGACTGGCCTTGAACTTGTGATCCTCCTGTCTTAGCCTCCCCAGTAGCTGGGATGAAAGGTGTGCAGCCCACGCCCAGCTTCCTTCTTACCCCTTCTGTGATCTACCCTTACACATTCGTCCACGGGATGACGAGGGTGTCTCCCTTTCTGGGCTCCTTGTGCCCTGCAGGGGCCTGGCCTGTTTGCCCACCACTGAATGCCCAGGTGCTGGGCCAGATGGGCTCATGGGCTCAACAGGTGTCGTCCCCCCCCCCCCGCCCCCAGGAAATGGTCAGAGGTTGAAGCAAAAGGATTGCAAGTTCAAGGCTAGCCTGGGCAATTTAGTGAGATCCTATCTCAAAATAAAAAAGTAAAAGGGCTGGGGGGTGTGGCTCAATGGTAGAGCATCCCCGGCTTCAATCCCTAGTGGAGAGAGAGAGAGAGAGAGAGAGAGAGAGAGAGAGAGAGAGAGAGAGAGAGAGAGAGAAATTAATAAACTTCTTGGTATTATGAAGGAAAAGAAGGGGTCATAGAAGTTCTGGGACAAACAGATCTAAAAATAAACCACTTTTGCAATGGATGTCCTGGAGGGGGCAGGGAGTGGTCAGACTTCTCCTTCCTAAGTTCCCTAATGCAGGCGAGCTCAACAGAGAGGCTGGAAGTTGCCTCTTCACCTTTCCTCCACCTGCAGGGTGTCCGGGACTGCAGGGGCCTGGGGATATAGCTAGGAGCCTTGGGTGCATGGGTTGGGCCCGCCTTGGTTCTCCACTTGTACATGCTGAGGCCGAGGAGCCTGGCGGTGAGCCAGCCCTGTCCAACCCGCCAGGACTCATGGCTCCCACTGTCCTCAGGCCTCCCTGCTCTGTTCCCCAACATGCTGTGCTCAGAGCCTTTGTGTTTGCTATTCCCTCTGCCTAGAATGCTTTTCCCTCAGTCTGACTCCTTCTCATTTAGGTCCCAGCTCAACTCAGACCCTAGAGAGATCTTCCCTGAAGTCCCCACCCTCAATCCTCCAACCCCCTGAGTCACTTTCTACCCATGACTCAGCTTTTAAATATCTGAAATGTCATAAGAAATAATGCTTTTTTTTTGGAGGGGGGTCCATCTCCTCACATTACCTGTAAGCTCCATGATGACAGGGACTGTGTCTTATCACTGCTGATCTCCCACTTCCCAGAATAATCCTAGTCTGTGAAGGGAGGCAGTATTTGTTGGGCTGACTGCCAGATGGGGTAAGAATTTGTTCTCTAGAGCTATGCTTCTGATATGGTAGCCACTCTATCTTGAAAGTTAATTTAAATCAAAAGTAAAGCTCCAATTCTTTGGCCACATTTCCAGTACAGAACGCCCATACTGGCTAGTGGCTTCCTTGTGGACATCACAGGCACAGACCATTTCTACCAGAAGGTGGTGTTCCACTCTCCTGCTGGTACCCTCAGCTCATGCCATTTTCTCTGCCTGGAAAACCTTAAGTGTCCTCTACCTCGAGCCTGGCACAGTGGTGCCTGCCTGTAATCCCAGTAGCTCGGGAGGCTGAGGCAGGAGGATCGCAAGTTCAAAGCCAACTTCAGCAACTTAGTGAGAGCCAGTGCCTGGGGATCCCCCGCCGTTTGAGGGTTCCCGTGTGTCGGTGGGGACGCGGAGAAGATGCAGCACAAAGGAGTAGAGCGAGGCCAGGGGTGTTTCACGACCCTCCTCGGGCGGGCGACTGTGCTTAGTGGGATCCAGAGGATTCTGAGCGCCAAGGACCCCGCCCCTCTATGTCTGCTACCTGGAGACTCAAGAGCAGTGTCCAGGTTCATCCTGCTTCCCGCGCCAACTCTAAGAGTCGCTAGGCTTCTATTTTCTCATCTGCGAAATGGGATAACAATGCGCCCGGCATCTAGGAGGAAAGACTGAGACTCGCTCCACTCGTGGGGTCAAAGGCACCAGGCGCTGGCCAGGGGGAGTCCCTGCTGGCCCAGCGGCGCCGGGAGCGCCCCGTTTATTCCCACAAAAGCCGCAGCTGGGCCGGCGCGCCCGCCCCGGGCGGGACCAGCCCACGTCCCCGAGGGGCCCCGCCGCGACGCCCCCGTTTCCTGCTGCGTCCCCGCCAGCCTAGTGCGCCCAGCCCGCCCCCGAGCCCGCGGCGTCCCCGGGGTCCGGCGAGCGGAAAGGGCTGGGCCTGTGGGAGGAGCGCAAGGGCGGTGAGGGCGGGCGGTTCGCCGCAAAAGGGCCGAAGTACTCGGCGGCGAAGGTGACCACGTCCTGGGGTTGGCGCAGCAGCAGGAAGAGCAGGAAGTCGGAGACGAGCGCCTGCGCCTCGGGGTGCTGCCGCAGGTAGCTGGCGTGGCTCAGGCGCAGCTCCTCCTGGCGGGGAGGCCCGGGTCGGAGCCGGGGACCCGCGCCAGGAGCCCCCACCCGCTCCCAGCAGGGCCCCCAGGGTGTGCGGTTCAGAGCCGGGAGGGGCCACGGGGAAAGGAGGGAGGGACAGGGAGATCGGTAATGGGGGGTTCATGGCCCGGGGGGGGTACCCCAGACTGGCCCTGCCGCTCCTTACCTTCCGCTCCAGGAACCTAGAGTAGAGCTCCAGGTCCTCCTCCCACTCCAGGGGTTTCTTCTCAAACACGGGCTTTGGCTCTACGACGTCTGGACGGGGAGGAGGGGGGCTGCTTACCCCACCCAACCTTCCTGGATACCCAGAGGACTCCCGCTGTCAAATGGAAAGCTGAGGACCAACCTCAGATTCTGCCCACAGGGCAGAGTTGCTGCAAGGGGTTCCTAGCAGAAGAGGCCCGCCCCTAACTGCCTTGGGGGCAGGGGCAGGAGGACAGAGTTTCTCCTTTGGATTCCAGGCTCGGTCCCATCCCACGTGGAGTGTGCTGGCCAAACCCTGCAGACCCTGGTTTCCTTCCCCTTTCCTCCCCTCTCCCACCAGCTGCCTTGGGCCTGGGCTCTACTTACCCTCCTTCCTCAGGATGGGCATCTTGGTGATGATGCAGTACCCAGGGGAGCCCACCTGGATCCTCTTAGCCAGGTGCCTGGAAGGCAACACAGAGGAAGGTTGGAGAGTGGGCCTTCCTGGACCACCAGCCCCAGTGTGATGGTATTTAGAGAGAGGGCTTTTAGGGAGGTCATATGGTCAAGTAAGGTCTCAAGGGGGTCCCTAATCCCATAGGATTGACATCCTTATAAGAACAAGAAGAGACTCGGGAGAGTTCTATTCATCCACACACAGAAGAAAGGCCCATGAAGACACAGCCAGAAGGCAGGTATCTACAAGCCAGGAAGGGAGTCTTCACCAGAAACCAACTTTTGGCATGGTGACCTTGGACTTCAGCCTTCACAATTGTGAGGAAATAAATTCCTCTTGCTTAAGTCCACCAGCCTGTGGCACTTTGTTATGGCAGCCTGAGCTAGCTAAGAAACCACAATGCCCCCTGGAGAATGCTCCTCGTTCTATTTAATTCTACCTTCTCTCTTATCTTTTGAGTTCCCTGTTCCAAATAATTGCCCAGGGCTTGGAAGGGTCAGTAAATGGAGCCCACCCAGGGATGCCCATAAATAAATAAATAAATAGAAATAAATAAAAAATAAGTAAATGGAAAAGCCAAGTGCTGTGGTGCATGCCTGTAATCCCAGCTACTCGGGATGCTGAGGCAAGAGGATCACAAGTTTGAGTCAACCTGGGCAACTTAGTGAGACTGTCTCAAAATAAAAGGGTTGGGGATGTAGCTCAGAAGTAGAGTAATCCCTGGTATTAAAAAAAGAAAAAGTCAATAAGAAGAGACTTAGACTTTCAAAGGTATAAGCACAAAACAAAACAAAAAACACCTCCTCCTTCATAGGTGACACATACAAAGAAACATACGAAAAGTGATGAACTAAGGAAAGCCAAAAATATTGGTCACTTTTTTTTCAGTGAAGTTTCTAGATCAATACTTCTGAAATTTCAAGAAAGAAATGATTCTCCCCCACATGGGTTTTTCTCAGGGTCAGTGTTCTGCTGGTGACCACTTGGTGGTATGCCAAGGGTGCTCCAGCACTGATTCAATCGAGTGTCCAGTTCAAACCCTGGTGTCCTCAATATTCCCCTCACCTACGGCCGCTGCCTTAGCTGGTAGGCTCTGCAGGCTGGCATTTCCTTCCTCAGCCAGTTGGGGTTCTTTGTGGGAAGTTCTGGGAGGCATGTGAGCATCGGGGAAGGAGCCCATGAATGAAGAAAGGGTGAGTGGTGTGGAGGGGACACTGGGATCTCAATGACCACTCTTACTGGAGGTGTCCCCAGGAATAGGTCGTCTCTCCTTTGCTCCATCCCCAGCCCATGTCCCTTCCCCATCATTGAGCACCAGACTTGTCTATGACACTGCCCACCCCTGAGAAGGCTCACCCATCACAGAGCATGTAGAACTGCCAGGACATGGGGATACCCTCGTTCGAATGCACGGTGTGCTCCACAATGAACACCTCGGACTGCTGGTGGCCCACCTGGATGTTCTGGAAGCCCAGGGCTCGCTGCAGCAGCCAAAACGAAGGGAGGGTGGTGAGGTGGGCGCCACCAGGGTCTCCCTGTTCTCAGCCTGATCCTTCCTCCTCCTCCTCCTTTTTTCCTTGTTCACCAGTGATTAGCAGCTCTTGGCTGTCCACACCATCAGGTGCCACAAGATTTGAGTTGTAACCCCCAGGTAACTTGGGCCTTCTCCCAGAGAACCAGCTTCAGTTGGCCCCTGGCCCCTGCCATGCCATCTTTGTGGCCAAGTGTTGTGGTTGGCAGATTCTGTTATAGGGAGGAGGGTCAGTCAGTATGGGGAAGGCGAGGAGGAGGTGCAAGCTTTGGGGGCCAATTGGGGGAAGTAGCAAGGCTGTGAGGAGAGAGGCTGGACAGATCTGTGATGGCCTCAGGCCACGCAGCTGCTGGCAGCCTGCCTTAACGCAGTTGAAATTAAACCAATGTAGCTGCTGCCATGCTAACATTAAACAGGTGTCTCAAAGAAAATGGGGGGTTGTGGCACGCGCTTGCTTGTGTGTTTGTGATGGACAAGGCAGAAGGTAACTTAGGAGGTTGGTCAAAGACAGACAGATCCACCTCCAAAGTGTCTTGCTGGAACTAGTGTGTGTTCAGAGGGCAGCTGATAAAGCATGTAGTGCAGGAGGTCCCAGGTGTGTTGTGAACTTCTAGCCAAAATAAAAGAAAAAAAGGAACACTCTCACTTAATATTTAAGTAAGTGGGGAAAAACTGCATTTCTCCAAGTTAAAAAATGATGTGTCTTTGGGTTGGGGGTGCAGGGGAGTGCTTGTCTAGCATGTGCGGGGCCCTGGATGACATGTCTTTAAAAGCATCCCTCTGCTGTACTGACTTTTGAAGCCTGGCTTTTATGCAAAAGGTTGTTTTGCTCAACTGCTCCCACTTTTTGTAGAACTCATTTCACCTGCCCCCCTCCACTTGATCTTGTTTTTGTTTGTTTGTTTGTTTGGTATCAGGGATTTGAACTCAAGGTGCTTTATCATTGAGCCACATCCCCAGCCCTTTTTATTTTTTTGTCTTTGAGACAGGGTCTTGCTAAATTGCTCAGGGCCTCACTGAGTTGCTGAGGCTGGCTTTGGATTTGTGAGCCTCCTGCCTCAGCCTCCTGAGCCGCTGGGATTACAGGCGTGCGCCACCGCACCTGACATCAGTTCTTGCTTTCTCTTGCCCTCAGATATCTCATTCCCACCCTCCTGATTTATCCCCACCCCAACTCCCTCTCCACTCCACAGCTATCCTGCATCCCAGCCCAGCATCCCTCATGTCCCTTCTAGTTGTCCCCAGGCCAAATCCCTTGCCCTCACATAGGTGGAGTAGCAGAGTTTGCCCTCAGTGTCCAAGGCCAGGAAGCGGGCGTTTTGAGGGACCTTCTGCCTTCGAGCCATCAACCTCAACAGCACCAGGTTGGCAGCTTCGGAGATGAAGCCAGTAATTGAGTGCGAAGGGAAGAAGGCCACACCAGTCTTCACTTCCTGCTCAGGACAGATCTGGGTCAAGAACCGCCAGCCAGGAAGGGGATGGCAGGGTGGGCAAAGCAGTTATGGGTGTGGGTCCTTGGGGTGTCCTCTGTCTAGACTCCTGGCCGCACGCCACCAGCTCAGTGCTTGTGGTTCTGAGGAGGAGGTGAAGGGTGGTGCCCACCTGGCTCTCACCCTTACCTCACCCTCCTTGATGCTTCTGGTCATGGCCAGCTGGTCATTCTGCTTCAGCAAACTCATCTTGTGTTCCATGGGGAGGATGAGGAACTAAGGGCCAGAACATGTGGCAGAGAATCAGAGACTCCTTGGTCCCCAGAGGTCATCTGTCTATTCTCCTTTATAAATGAGAAAACTGAGATTTAAAGGTTTTGATTTAAAATACAACCAACCCAGAAAATCCTTCCATATATGGCCAAGCTCATGAACAGCAGCCAGAGGATGGTGTGATACTAGCTCAAAAGCAGGGCGCCTCAGAACACAGGTTTAAAACATGGCAACGACTCTGGAAATGCTCTAAGTAGGAGTGGTTTCCACTGTGTAGACAGTCATGGCAGGTTCTAGAAGTTAGTGAGGGGGCTGAAGCCGGGGGTGAGGAGCACAGAGCCAGAGGGTTTGGAGGCCACATGGTGACAGATCCTAGGGACCAGCTAGGCCCTGGGAAAGGCCAGCCCCCATGATCCTCCAGGGATGCTGGGCTCTCAGGCTAGAGGAGGACCAAGTGGGGCTGGTTCAGTTTGTGCATCAGGAGGACAAACTGTGTGTGTGTGTGGCGGGGGCAGTGGGGACAGGGTGAGGGAGATCCCTCCTTCCCTCAGATTCTCTGTTCTCTCATTGTCACTCAGGGCATGACACAGGACCCCAGGAAGTACCTTGATGAACTCTCGACTATGTTGTTCCACGGTCTCCAAAGTCTGGGAGAGATAGCCTGGGGTGCAGGGACAAACTTTCATGTCACAGGAGTCATGGGCCCAAGATGGAAGGAAGGGAAGGAGGGTGGGCCCAGGCTGGATGTGATGTGGCCACAGGAAAACTATGGGGTGGGTCAGTGCTGCTCCTGTGTCTGTGGATAACCGCCCAGTGGCGCCTCCCCCATGTCTCATCAAGAGATAGGTCCTGAATAAGGAGGCTGGGAATGGAAGGGGTGGCGGGGTTGGAAGGATGTGGTGACATCAGCAGGCGGAACCCTACCCAGGAGCGAGTTTCCGCAGACGGTTTTATCCAGGAGGCCATGGCTAAAGGCGTGCACGAGGATGCACTGGGACATGATGCTCATTTCGTCCTTGTGTTTCCCTCTCTGCACCTCGATGGTCAGTTCTCCCCGAGGCTCCCCGGTGTCGGAGACCATGGCCAGGGTCTCAGAGAAGAAGAGCATCTGCAGCTCCTCGGGCTCTTGGGTGGGGCGGCGGGTGGGGACTGATCAGCCCTGGAGTCCTCGCAGCTTGTCCTGCCTCCCCCCTGCCGTCCGCAGGAGCCCGGGCTGAAGACCCCTCTCCCCCTCGCATCCCTCCAACGTCAGCCAACAGGCCTTGCGCCCATTTTAGTTCTAGGAGAACGGAGCTGACAGAGGTGGGGACCGTCCGGGCCTGTCCCCTCCCCCTGTCTGGGCTCACGGAGGGAGTTGAGGAAGTCCACGGCTTCAGCGTTGGCCTCTGGGAGGGGCTGACGCTCCTGGCCTGAGGGCCGGTGGTCCTTGCCTTTGGGGACTGCGGGGCAGAGGCTAAGATGGCAACCCCTGGGGAGAGGGGCGGGGCGGGCAGGAGTCCCCCAGTCCCGGCCTCGGTCCCCAAGAACTGAGTCCACCAGGACGACCCTGGAGGGGGTTGTAAGGGAAAAGAGCCCCCACCCGCTTCCCAGCCAGCCGCCCTCGTCCCACCTGAGGACTGAACTCTGGAAGACATGCTGTCTGCAGCCGGCGGGGCTGTGTCCAGCCGTCTCCCTGGCAACCGGACTAGCTGCCGCCCCTTAAAGGGCCCCTTCACTACACCTTGACCTTGGAGGAAAAGTCCACGCAGGCTCTGGTGCTCAGCCCAAGCCTGAAGCCTTGTCCAGCAGGGGGAGCATTTGACCTTCTTAAGAGGCAGGGGAAGAAATGGATCATTAAAAGAACTTCAGAAGTTGTGGCCGTGGGCCAGGAGTCTCACAACCACAGAACCCAGTTCCATGTTGCCTGAAGAGCTCTGCAAGTTGTAGTCCTAACACGATGGCACCCAGCTTGTGATGCCTCATTTTATCAGGTTTTTCTTTTATTAATTAATAATTATTCTTTTATTAAAAATAACAATTATTATTATTATTATTTATAACAACTCACGGGCACTTAACCACTCAGCCACATCCCCAGCATTTTTTTTTTTTGAGACAGGGCCTCCCTAGTTGCTGAGGCTGACTTTGAACTTGTGATCCTCCTGCCTAATCCTCCTGAGCCACTGGTTTCCAGGTGTGCACCACCACACCTGGCCCAGGTTTGACTTTACATACAAAGAGGTGAAACCATTTGCCTTCAGTAGAAAACATACTTTGGATTTTGAGTGTGATTTCCTGGGCTAGTGATAGGCCATAAGATCCTTTCTCTGGATGCTGGGCAGTGTCAGCGAGCCCTGGCTCCCAGTCAGCCCCTGGATCATGAGAGGGAACAAGGATACTCCACAGAAGACTGCATTGCGAAACTATGTTTTTTTTTTTTCCTTCTTTCTTCCTTTTTTTTTTTTTTTTTTTACTGGGGATTTAATCTATGGGCGCTCTATTTCTGAGCTATATCTCCACCCAGCTTTTTTTTAGTTTTAAGAGAGGGTGTTGCTAAATTGCTGCAGCTGGCCTTGAACTTGCCATCCTCCTGCCTCAGGCTCCCAAATCAGTGGAATTACAGAGGCAATTCAAGGGTCTCCTGATAGGTGTAGTGGAGCATGCCTGTAATCCCAGTGAATCAGGAGGTTGAGGAAGGAGGATGGCAAATTCAAGGCCAGCCTGACCAATTTAGTGATACTTTGACTCAAAACAAAACATAAGAAAAGGGGTGGGGGGGTTGAGGATATAGCTGAGTGAAAGGGTGCTTACCTAGCATGCGCAAGACCCTGGGTTCAATCCCCAGCACCACAAAAACAAAAATAGAATCAAAACAGAGAGTGGAGCTAAGAATATGTAGCTTAGTGGTGGAGTGCCCCTAGGTTCAGTCCTCAGTACTGCAAAAATGAAAAATAAATAAAAAGAAAATTAAGGGACTGGAGTTGTGGCTTAGCAGTAGAGTGCTCGCCTAGCAGGCGGGAGGCACTGGGTTTGACCCTCAGCACCACATAAAAATAAATAAGTAAAATAAAGATATTGTGTCCAACTACAACTAAAAAAAAGTATGTATATAAAAATAAAATTAATAAATATATACTTCAATTGAATAATTGATTTAGACTTGGACTTTTATTTAAAGTCTTACTGAGATTGTAAAAGGACCAAACATTATAAGATTAAAAAGAGCTGGAGAGTGTGGCACATACCACACTGGATCATAGATCCCAGCAACTGGGGAGACTGAGGCAAAGGATCACAAGTTCAAGGCAAGCCTATTTTATTGTACTGAGGATTGAACCCACTGAGCCACATCCCCAGCCCTTTCTATTTTTAATTTTGAGACAGGATCTCACTAAGTTGCTTCAGGACTCACTAAATTGCTGAGGCTGTTTTTGAACTCTCCATCCTCCTGCCTCAGCCTACCAAGCTGCTGAGTTTGTAGGTGTGTGCCACCTCACCCGGCCTCGGTAATTTAACAAGACCCTGTCTCAAAAATAAAAAGTAGGGTCTGTCTCAAAAATAAAAAGTAGGTGGTGTACACCTGTAATCCCAGAAACTGAGGAGGCTGAGGCAGGAGGATTGAAAGTTTGTTTTTTTTTTTTTAAAGAGAGAGAGAGAATTTTAATATTTATTTTTTAGTTATCAGCAGACACAACATCTTTGTATGTGGTGCTGAGGATCGAACCTAGGCCGTCCGCATGCCAGGTGAGCGCGCTACCACTTGAGCCACATCCCCAGCCCCAGGATTGAAAGTTTTAGACCAGCTCCAGCAATTTAGTGAGGTCCTAAGCAACTTAGCCAGACCCTATCTCAAAATAAAAAATAAAAATCACCAAGAATATGGCTCAGTAATAAAGCAATCCTGGTTTTAATCTCTGGTAACAAAGAGAAAATAAAAATTATTAACATTTGCCAGACTTATAGTTAGAACAATATGACTGCTAAGTTTAAAAGTTTAAAAAATACTTATGTTTTTTAATTTGCATTTAAGAAGCTGAGTATTTTTATTTGTAGTATTAATTATTTTTGGTGGTGCTGGGAATCAAATCCAGACCCTTGAATATACTAGGAAAGTGGTCTATCACTGAGCCACACCGCCAACCCTGAGTATAAATTTTTAAAAGCCAAAGGAAAAAAAAATTTTGTGTATGATACTGAGGATTGGACCCATGGATGTTCATACCACTGAACTACATCTCCAATCCTTTTTCTTTTTCACTGAGACAGGGTCTCCTAAATTGCTGAGGCTCACCTTAAACTTGCAATCCTCCTGCCTCAGCCAACTGAGTGGCTGGAATTATAGGCGTGTACTGCTACACCCAGTACCAAAGTGAATTTTGAATAACTCTCCTCACATAAGGCAAGGTCAGTGATATTAAGGAATCTTATAGCTGCTTTGGAAAGCAGTCTGGCAGTTCCTCAAAAAGTCAGCAATTCTACTTCTAAGTATATCACCAAGAGAACTGAAAACATTTTCGATAGAAAAATTTGTAAATCACCAGGCATGGTGGCACATGCCTTCAATCCAAGCACTTTTAATTTTTTTTTTTTTTTTTTGAGACAGGGTCTTACTCAGTTGCTCAGGGCCTTGCTAAATTGCTGAGGTTGGTCTCAAATTTGTGATCCTCCTGCCTCAGCCTCCTGGGTTGCTGGGATTTCAGGCATGAACCACCAAGCCCATTGATAAGTGGGATCGTGAATGAAGATTTATGATTTCGCTATCTTGCATCATTTCTAGATCAGACCCCTTTTTCCTTTGCCCCTGACCCCTGGTTCAGTGTGGCACAATGGGGCTGATGCAGTCCCTGTGGGTGTGGTCAGATGACCTGTCCTGGCCAATGAGAGAAGCCCATTCTCCTAAGGTCTATGATTCCTTCAGCCTTGGGCCCATGAGCCAAGCTGGAGCAGTGAAACTCAAGCCCTGGGACTATTGGAGGTTCTGCATGGTGTGGTGGAGTAGAGTCCTGTAAGGCTGTAACTTAGCCTCTTTCCACCGCAGGGAGAACGCCTGGCAGAGGGTGACACTAATGGAGAAGAAAGCAAAGTGAAGGAAGATACTCTGAATCCCTGGATTCACCTGCGATTCTCCACGTTTTGCTTTCCCACCTGAGCAGTCAGGAGGCTGTTCCTCTCCAGATTCTCCTTTCGGGTTAAGCTACTCTGTACTGAGTGTTTGACACTTGTACCTAAAAGGGTTCTAACTCACTGTGTCCTCTCCACTGAAAAGTGAAGAAACAGGACAGGGAATTGAGCTGCCCATGGTCACTGGGAGGCTGAGTGACAGAACTAGGACTGTAACCAGGCCTTGAAGGTGAGTGACACCTGTTGTCCTATAAGCAGGTACACACGGTGTGATTGTTACTGGGCAGTGCCAGCTTCAGGAGAGGCATGTGTCTTCCATCCTTCAGGACAGCCAGCCAGGTGGGAGGATGACCCAGGCCCTGGGAAAGTGTTCACCAGCCCAGAGACCCGCCACCAAAGGCTCTTTGAAGATGTGAAGCTGAGCATCCCCAGAGTGACCTGCAGAGTCCTGAGCCTGGTGCTCACCTGCCCAGAGAGCAGCAAGCCAGACACGTCCCTGAGTACACAGAGCCACCTTCTCTAGGAGGCGAAGGCTGTGGCCCATCCCAACCCAGCCTGACTCAGGACGGCCAGAGCAGTGCCAGGGTCCCTGGCCTGGGGTGAGGGATCCTAAGAGGGGCTGAACTATGACCGGGGGGAATCTGTGCTCTAGGCTGGCCAAGAACGTGTGTCACTAAGCCAGTGCTCCCTGTCTTCATTCCTACCTTCAGTTTGGCCATAGCCAAGTTTCACTTTTTCTTTGTGTTTTCCCATTTCAATAAATATCTACAATCAAATTAGTGTCACTTGTCAAAAGTAAATATTGGCCCCAAAGAGAAATACAAAGATGTCGTTAAAATTTAATTAGAAACAGGTACTCAATTAAGGCGTGGAGCTGAAGTCTGGATCTTTTTCACAGCGGTGTTAAAGACAGGCTAGAGCCAGGAGTGGTGGTTCAATCCTGTAATCCCAGCAATTTAGGAGGCTGAGGCAGGAGGATTTCAAATTGGAGACCACCTCAACAATTTAGCAAGGCCCTGTGGTTCAGTGGTTAAGCACCTCTGGGTTCAATCCCTGGTACAAAAAAAAAAAAAAAAAAAAGACAGGCTGTGCCCTTGAAGTGCTGTGACCATGTGTAGTCACGCCTCCCCACCCTCCCTGCCCTGTGGTCCACCTGTGCATCTCAGGGTTTGGAAAACACTGAAGTAAGCAAATTGTAAACCCTGAACAAATGCATGCGGGTTGTGGAAAGAATACATTTAGGGTCCCACTTCTTTTTTTTTTTTTTAATTAAAACATTTTTCCTAGTTGTAGATGGACAGCATTTTTATATGATGCTAAACATTGAGCCCAGTGCCATACATGTGCTAGGCAAGTGTTCTGCCACTGAGCTACAGCCCCAGCCCTAGGGTGCCATTTCTGACCAAAGTTTTTCAAAGGTAGCAACCCAAGTTATAGGACCTGGAACTGAGTTGGGAGAATGGTTAGAAAGTTCTCTGCTGTCTTCACTCACACAGCAGTAAAGACAAGTCATTGAGTAGTCAGACCTTAGTTAAATCATTCATTCATTCAACATTTATTGAGCGCCTACTGTTGTGCTGGGCACCGTGCTAGGCGCAGAAATACAGAGATGCATAAGATACAGTCCATGCCCTTAAGGATTCACAGTCTAGAAGGGGAGACAAACATGTAAACAAGTAAAATAGGGTATGATAAGTGCTGAGAGAGAAACAGAGAGACAGAGAGAGAGAGAAGCATTTACAAAGTGCAGAGGTAGCCTGGGGAGGAGGGGCACGGGTGCCTTGGGGGTGGGGGAGGGCTCTTGGGGGAGATGAACAGGTGTTTGCCAGGCAGCTGAGGCAGGGGGAGGGGGGGGGGAAGACATTCCGGTTCAAAGAAACAGCGTGAGCGAAGGCACAGAGGCATGAAACTGTGTCTCGGGCGCAGACTGCTAACCAGTCTGGTGGTATTGCTAGAGTTGTTCCAGGGGCCGTGGCTGCAGAGGGCAGGGAGGCCCGATGAGGAGGGGAAAGAGAGGGTAGGGGGCATCTCAGGGTCTTGTGCGGTGAGGAGAGCCCGAGGCAAGGCTTTGACACTTGAAGAGAAGGCTCCTGGCTGACCCCAGGTACGCCTGCTGGAGGACCACAGGGTCCCTCTCTAGGCCCCAAAGGGACCTGGACCCGAGACTAGAGGAGAAGCAGAGCTAGAGGAGAGGGGAGCAGAGGGCGAGGGCCCTGGAGGCCACCACGGCTCCCACACTTCTGCATTCTGCTGCAGAGCCCTCCTCCCTGCCAGGGAGGGGCCAAGGGGCCAGTGGGACTCAGGGGAATGGAAGTTCTTGGCAAACTGCCAAGATGAATGTCAGGGCCCCGAACTCAAAAGAGGAGAGGGGTTGAGGATACAGCAAGAGAGATGGTTAGATAGAAGAAGGCAGGCAGAAATTCCCAAGAGCAAGGGCCAAAAGGAGGGAACTGCACTGGTCAGAGGCAGACTGTGGCTCTCTCTCCTCTGGGAAGCCCTTGGGACCCACGGCAGGGGCAGAGGCCAGCAGACAGGCCCAGGCCAGGGAGCTTGGCTGGCCAGGCGGTCAGGCTCTGCATCTCAGCATCCGGGGTCTCCTCAGCCTAAGGCAGAGGTTTCCTTGGCAACCAGGACCCTCCTGCTTCTAGGCTGCCGGGGGCCCACGGAGGCTGAGATTAGAGACAGATTTCCAGCCCCTTGGGGTTCTGGGAATGGCTCTGCCTGCAAAGGCCTTGGCAAGGTAGGGTGGGTGAGAGGCTGGGAGGAGGGGAGAGGCCTAGTGACCCAGAGCAGGTAGCCTTGCAGCGACCACTTTCCCAAGGCACCATACCTGACACCATTTTACTGGGAAGAGTCTGTCCCTCAATCTTGACGGGGCAAAGGCAGAAGATGGACTTAGCCTGGTCAGGGTTCCTGCCGCCCTAGTCTGGGGCTACAGTGAAAGCCAGGCCTCCTGGGGAAGGGGCTGACAGTAGCCTCCACATTTCCCTGCTGGCCCAGGAGTGCAGGAACAGAGAGGGACCTCCTAGTAACCAGGTCTGGAGATGTTCCAACATCCTTCCTTTCTTGTCACCCTTGATGACCAGCCGCACTCCATGGGGTCTCCCAGCCTTTGGCCACTCTTAATCTCATCACCTTGCCCTTCTCCTCCCCGCAACCAGTGGGGAGGGGACGATGTCCACTGGGGGCGCAGGTGGAGGTGGTGGTGGTAGCCATGAGGAGGACAGTGATGTGCAGGTGACGGGCAGCCTCCCCACTGCAGGGGGGCTGGCTGGGGTGGACTGGGGCATCACTTGCTCTTGTGCATGTCCTTTAGCCTTCGGAGCTCCTCCAGGAGCTGGGCGCGGGAGCAGCCCTCGTCCGCTGTGGGGCCCGGGCCAGGCCCCAGAGCCTCCTGCAGTGCCAGGCAGTGGGTCCTCAGGAATGGGTTGTAGGAGCGCTCCTCTCCCAGGGTGGACGGGCACTGTAGGGTGAGAGGCACCAGGCTGGGTGGACAGAGGCTGGAAAAGCGACCCAACAAAGGAAGGCTGCCCCAGCCCCCACCCATCCTGGGTCCAGAGCTCTGCGGAGGCATCCCCAGCCCCATCTTAGTATCAGGCTCAGGATGGGCTGAGTGCCCATGCTGTCCCCTGGGCTGCTGTCCCTCGGGCTCCCGAGCCCCGCACCGTGCTCCTGCGCTCCATCCGCTGTCTCTGTACCCACTGCATCTTCCTCTCCCGGGCCAGGTTCTCGGGCTCCACCACGCCAGCGAAGCCCAGGTTCTCCTCTGCATACTCGTGACCTGGCAGAGGCCATGAGGCATGAGGCAGATCAGTGGTGTGGCCTCCCTGTCCCCAGGCCTATGGTTACCCAACAACCAGGAAGGAAGGCGGGGCTTCCAGGAAACCCACCCGCGGGGCTGCTTCCCAGCTGTGGGCACAAGTCAGTCAGGAGCAAGAGGCAGAGGCTGGGGGGCGGTGAGACAAACACCACTAGGCTTGGAGCCGGGAGGACACTCTGCCACTGCCCAGCATGTCACCTCAGTCAATGAGCCAGAGTTTTCTAGTTTGGCAAGTAGAGAAAACAATAATGCCACAGGGCACAGATGTCACCAATGGGGTCCCAGTGTCTAGAACAGAGCTTGGTTCATGTCAGGTGCACATTAAGTACCTGCCAAATGAATGAATCTATGTTCTGAGAATTAATACTTGTGAATGTTTTTATAAAAATACAAGGCAATGATACATGTGGGATGCGTTTACTAACTTTTCCGGACTCTGGCTATGAACAATTAGACACCCCCTTGGAATGCTCTGGGTCCTGCAGGGCTCCCAAGGCCAAGGGCTGGCTGGTGGGGATGGCGGTGTGACAAGCAGAAGCCTTAAGGAGCCAGGACTGTACTCCTAAAGAAGGGAGGCGGAGCCTGCCCACCCCTGAGGCGGAACCCTTTGTCCCTGGGCCAGAAACTGGGTTGGCTCCAGCTCCAGGGGACTGAAGGGGTGGAGCACCCTGGTGCCAGGCCCAGTGTGGGGCTAGAGAGAAGGGGAAAGGTGCCTCACCAGGCCACAGGAGGGTGTCATCGCCCAGCCCCAGCACAGTGTCCAGCGAGCTCAGCATGGTCTCTGCGGTACCCTCAAAGGTCCGTCCTGGTGGGGTCAAGGGCACAGGATGACACAGGATATGGTACTTGAAGAGGGCTGGGACCAACTTGGAAGCTCTGGCTATGCCCCTCCCACCCACCTCCAGGAATTTAGCTCCCTCTTCCCACTGAGAACTGGGCCTGTCAGTCACCCTGCCCAAGGCCAGGCTCCATGCACACAGTGGCATCTGGAGGGAGGGGACTTCTTCAGGTTGGCCTCCCTCCTGAGGCCCAAGCTGGGGAGATGGGGGGCTGCTCTTTTCCATGGGGGGCTTCTTTGCCTGGCTGCCCTTTGGGACTCTGCAGCCTAAGACATGGGATTGCCACCTGTCTACAGATCTCCCCTCACTTAGGGGTCCTCAGCCTTCCACAACCTAATCCTCTAGTCACTGTTCAGAGAGCCAGGCCCCACCCAGTGACAGTAATTGTGCCCCTTGAGGTCTTTGCTCAGGTGCAGGATCTTCTCTTCTGTCCTTCCCCCGTGGAAAGTCTTGAGGATATGAAAAACAATTGGGGGCCAGGTGCAATGGTGCTTGTACGTAATCCTAGCGACTAGGGAGGCTGAAGCAGGAGGGTGGTAAGTTCAAGGCCAGCCAAGGCAACTTAGGCAGACCCTGTCTCAAAATAAAAAGGGCTGGTATGTAGCTCAGTGGCAAAGTGCCCATGGGTACCAGTACCAAGAAAAAACAAACCAAAAACATTACGTGACACAAAAGCAACATACGCGTTGTAACCAATACTTTCATGTGTGACATGGACTACAGCTGTCCTGTCTCTGTCCCAACCTGTCTCCACTCTCTCCTCTTTCAGGGAAACTCACCACAGCCAGAGAGGAAGAGCAGGTCCCCTGAGAAGAGGCAGGAGGGTCCCTTGTAGGGCTCCCCATCCAGCAGGTAGACCAGATGGCCTTGTGTGTGGCCAGGAGTGGCCAGGGCCCGGATCTGGAGCCGTCCCACACTGACCACATCTTGATGACACAAAGGGCTGGAGGCAAAGCAATGGGGAGAGAGGGAACCAGAGCTGATCCCCACTCCCTCCACAGGCCCAGGGGTCTGGGCGACTTGCAGGGGGTGGGCTTCCATGTCAGGGAGAAAGCACCTAGTGCCCAGGGTCAGATCCAAACCTTTCCCCTTCCTCTTTTGGGGGCCATAGCTGGGCTAGCTGGAGGGCAGGGAGTGCCAATCCTTACCTGGGCTTGGATCTGCTAAGAGCCAGCAAGGATGCCAACAAAGATCTAGCTAATGCCCTCTGCCACGCCCTCCCAACCTGGGCCAGGGACTTACTGGGTGAGGTAGGGGATGCCGTCCTGAGGGCTCCCGTACACCCGACAGTCCCGGTGCCGACGGCTGAGGTCACGGTTCCCTCCACTGTGGTCCCTGTAGGACAGTAGAGATGGGCAGCCAACTGTCCCTGGGCCTCCTTTTTATCCAAAGCATCCCCAGGCCTTTGTTCAAGCTGTTTTCCTGTCCAGAATGTCACTGCCACCCCCACCACCCCTGTCCCCACTACCTGTCATCCCCCACCCCCAAAGAGCTCAGCCTGGCCAATGCTGACTGACCTTTCTGGCTCCTCTCAGCTCCAGTAATCATCCTCGAATTCTCACAAGTAGATCTGGTCACAGCCTGCCTAGTGCCTCCCATGCTCTACGCCCTGTGCCACCTGCCACTTAAATGTTCATAGCCATTGGTCCTTTATGCAGTGTATCCCCTACTAGACTTGTTTGCTTTGATGGAAGAGATCACAAGGTTTGCTGGTGCTCAGTCACATACCTACTCCATGGCCACAGAACGGAGGATGAGTGACTGTCCTGCCTTTTAAGATGGTGGTGGGAGAGCAGCCCCTTAACTCCACCCCTGCTGTGCTGGGTTACTCTGTTGACTTCCACCCTCTGGCCCTCTCTGGGCCCAGTTTTGACCCACACCCCTGCAGTGGGGCAAGGGTGGGCTAGGGAAGACTGTCTGCCCCCAGACCCCCAGAGCCCCCCCAGCCCCTTACCAGTGCTTGTGGGTGCAGAGAATGGCAACCAAGGTAACTCCCTCCTTTTCAATGGAAGCCTGGGGAAGAGGAGGCACTGAGTCGGGGGAGCAGGACGCAGAGGGGGACAAGCTGAGAGACCAGGGTGTGGGTGCTGAGGAGAGCGGGAGAGGAAACGGGGAGAGAATGGGGGGACCGAGAAACAGGGGGCACTGGAAGAGGGTGGGAGGGTGGGCACGGGGAGGGGGAAGGGAGAGCGAGCTCTAGCAGGGACACGCAGGCACTACACACAGAGAAACCGGGAAAGGGAGGGAGACCCCGGGACTGACAGAGGCCAGAGGGTAGTGGGGGGGTGAGGGGCAAAGAGTGAGAGACAGCTTGGAAACTGACTAGACCCACAGTCCTGGGCCAGCACCTGTCTGCCCCCCTCCCCCAGTCCTGCCCCCTTCCCCCCAA